ACCTATCTGGTGACATGCGTAGCACATGTCCCAACCAGCGTAATCTATGGAGGTCGACTATCTGCTCCAGTGGACGATCGCGATTGCCTAAAAATCCACGCCGAACCTCGGCATTGCTCGTCCGGTTTCCCCACCGGACTCATGCAATGCGACGTAGACAGTGGTGATCAAACACCAATAATCTATTTTTATGCAGGACCGAACTTCTGCTTCGGTTGGAGAATCGCAAGACACTGCCCACGAAGCTTCAGTTACAGATGAAGTGACTTGTATAGCGACAGGCCAGTTGAACTGTTCGCTGAAGTATGTCGCCCAGCGGTCAAGTCATTGATTCCTTCTGTGAATAGCTTGTCCACTCTTATTGCCGACTGTTTCACTCTCTGGGGTTCATCGACCTCCCGTATTGCGTATCAGTCGGAACAGTCTTTGACTATTCCCCGATGCGGCTGTTACTTTCATTTCACTAGATATTGTTGTCCAAACTTTTTCACGGTTCTTCTTGAGGCTCTCATGAGCTGACGTTGCAGACACCACCTGTCTCTGTTTTGATCCTGGCAGGTCGGGATTTGTCGTTTTTCATCCATCAGTGCTACAGACTCTTCAGATATCCAATGCCTCCGTCGGGCATGAGGCTCAGTCCCACAAGCAAAATTCGCAGCGGAATGCACTGTTCGTCTAATCTGATCCCACCGCTCATTTACTTTATCACGTTGAGGCGCGCTTAGCTCACGCACTAGCTCTGACTCGGCATACACGAACGGCTGGAACAGATAGTCGATGGTGAGCTATCCGAGTTTGCTGGTTTTGTCGATCAGTCAACCGAAGAGTGAATTGCATCAAAACTAATGTGTGGTCAGACTCAACGAAGGTGGTCCAATAGGACCTGCAATTTTGCACTGAGCCACGCCAACGTTAGACTGTGGTCGATTTGAGTTAGTGTGCCAGTTGAACTGGAGCGCCACGTTGTCGTTCGTCGAGAGCTGTGTCGGAAGTTGGTGCTGGATAGGAACGGATGATGGTCTGCGCAGAACTGAAGAAGTCGATCGCCGTTATCTGTTCATTGGCACCGCAGAGCACAACTACCACCTAGGCAAGCTTCTGATATGCTCAGTTTTCCAACCTGCGCGTTGAAGCCACCTGCCAGCAGAACTATGTCAGAACTTCGACTAATCCTAATTAGATCAGTGAGTTCATCGTAGAAAACGTTCATTTGTGTGTCAGAACCGCAATTACATATACTGATATAATGAACAGACACTTTTTGGTGTTGCTTTCCTTCCAGACGCTGATTAAACCTTAGGGAGGAAATGCACGTAAACGACTAATGACGGGGATCCAATCGATGAGAGGGGATTCGTCCCTCAAGCTGGCATACTGAACGGTTTTCATCGTCGCCTGATTTATGAAGAACGTATCTTGAAGACAAATCTGGCGCGCTGAAGTGGCTTATAGTAGTGTTGTGAGATACTACTCACTTGTGAGTAATGATTTATTTCAATGATCAAAAATATAACAAGACCACCGAGGGCCAAGTGATTTGTCTGAAAGAATAACTACCAACTGTCTTATGCATTACCCAGTGTGCCGCAGAAACGGCAATGGTTTGTTTTTGATGAGATGTTTTGTGTTATATATGGCAAATTGGTGATATCTCATCTGAAATCCTCAATAAACAATTATCCTCGACCAGCACCGTCTTCTGGAATTATAACGGTAGTAGGATCCTGGATTCGAGCCCCTGACATACAGCAAATATCGATCCCTAAGGATTCCCTTGTACGCGCCAGACAAGCTTGTTGACCTACCTGCATCAGGGTCCTCACGTTAAAGACCCTCAGATTAAGTGATTGACGAGGCTTTAGAATTTGCAATTCGTTTCGTGGTGCATTACTTACAGTGCTTTTTGGCAAAGACCTTTGGCGAGCGACATCCAATTTGTTTGAGGGACTATTACAGGTTGGAAGAAGGGGCAAATGGAGAGGGTCGCGTGCAGAAGATAAAGAATTAAACAAGTGCTGGGATATCTGAGCAGTAGCCGACTTATCACTACACCCCGCTCGATGCAATGGGCAGCGCGGTCCTGATTATCATGCGCGACGACCGATGCAGTATGGAATTGCTTTTTGTTTGTGTATGTATTGTGTTTTGATGGACGGGTACTGCTAAGGTGTCCAGCGACTAAGCAGGTGAGCGATTAGAGTTCTCGTTCAAAGCCTTTAGTTCTAATGAGAACCTAACGGCAATGCAGCGGGTGAAGCGAAATGGAGGCCTATTTACTTGGATTGATTACTCCATCGCCATTTTGACCGACTGAGACGGCAATTTCAGTTGAACTCCCAATCTGGAGGACTAGGAGACTGGACTTTGCCTGACCTCTACCCATTAACCCTCCAGGCATGGTAAGATCTCCTGGCTTGACAAAACCCATCCTGTGTAGCTCGTTGGGTCATAGAGGTGCACAAGCCATCAGTCTCGTCGTGATAAAAGATAAAGAGAACTAGTAAGTAGTTGATATGAAACAACTCCAGCCCAGCGTTGGTTAACTATGTCAACTTTATCTATATCAATATATTTACACCGAAAGTGCATGACACATGTCAAACATAACTACACCAACACTCAAACAATTTAGAAAAGCTTGTAATTTGCCTGCAGCTTTACTCAGTAGTAAAAGGTTGTTTGGGTACTGTACATTAGACAAATAGTCGCTTGGAAGTACATCGAAAACACTATCCTCACACGAGGATACGGCCATTTCTAAAAGCACATTTATAGTTATGTTGAAGAGGAAAGAAGAGAGAGCAATCCTGACGAGCAGCGCTTTCTGTGGTAAATTGGGTGCTGTAACCTTGGGGCATGGCTAGTTCACGGGAACTCAAACGGATGAAAGAGAGTTTTCCTTTGGGACCAATGATCGAAGTGTTTGAAGCAAAAGTCTAACCCACACGACGATGGAATGTAGCAAGTGAACACATCATGAGAATATTCGATTGAGATAAAACATCTTGCTTTCGGTTTCGGTAAATGATGCATCAAAGTTTATACGTGAGACTGCCATTTAAAACAGCAGTGATGAGCACAACTCACGTCATCGTATGAAGTCAATTTGGGCTGAAGCTCTTGTAACGGGTAGCTCATTCGTGGTTGTTGTTCTTCCACTGCTTCGCGCCACCAAAACCTAGTATGAGAAAAGCGGATGAGAAAAAAATTGGCCGACTCACTTGACCTGTGACAATGTGGCCTGATTTGGCAGATGACTATCAGTCTGTTTCAGGGAAGCTTGAGCCACCTCTGGCCCCTTAATGGAGTCAATGCAGTAGACAGTATCATCGAAATTCACCACCAGATCGGACAGGGAACCACTGAGGCAAACGTCCAAGTCGAATTCATCTGCCAAATCCGTCACACCGGGGCTCGATTCTGACACGTGTTCACGTCCATTCAGTTCACGATGCGAGCCGGCTAGACTACCGGATTCCACAGACAAGTGATCGGTCTCAAGCAAAGCCAATGGAGCATCCGCACAGATATACATTAGAAAGAGTTTTTGCAATGACTAAACCGTTATGCGGATTCCTTTGACTACAAGGCAAAATGGAAATCAATGGTTATGGGTAGGTTTGATAGTCTACGTTGAATGTGAACTTACGCTTTCTAACCAGTGCATAATCAGCTGAGCGCTACTTACGCGTTTTTGTCCCAAGGTAAAATTAATTAAACATAACGACAGATAACAAGTGTTTAAAAGCAACACAGATAATTATCAATGACAAAACGATGCTGATCTAATGGAAGGGGATAAATTAAAACACAACACTCGACTTGGTAACATCATACGAGGCTTTATTTTACAATACGGACGGAGCGCCTGAATCCTTATTGGGTAAAGTAAACGTTTTGATAACTACAGTGGTTAGACGGACAAAAGTCAGGAAAGTGGAGGATAGGATGGGGTGGGAAATCGGTTCCATGGCAGTCTGACTGATTGTGTGTGCACATAAGTTTCTTACTTGCATAAATACCAAATTGTTTTACGTTATAGCGACTGAAGAGAAAGAAAAGATAACATCTTGCAGTAGATGTCTTCTCTTGGTTTTAACGAATCTTAGTAGGCACCGGAGACTTCAGTGCTCAAGTTAAATCCCATGACGAATCCGAAAGGCTTATTGACGGACCGCATCCCAGCCAACCGGACAGACAACGGAGATCGCCTACTTCAACTCTGCCTTTTCCTATCCAGCTCGAACTTCTCGCACAAGAAACACCGCCTTACATGGAAACCGCCAAACCCTTCACTGCGCTGGACCTAGATCGACTACATCGCCATCAGTTACCGCTGGGGAGGGTCGATTAAAGACTGCCATTCTTACATGTCCACACCTGTGGATACGGATCACGCTTTGCTACGAACCAAATTCTCCTTACGCCTGGCAAATAACCGCGAAAAAGCCACCGGCAACGGATACCCACGATACAACGTCAGCGATTGCTGCAAATCGGCCTTCAAAGCGGAGCTCTCCGATCGCCTGTCAGGTCAACCGCCAGCCGAAGGACTTAATGAACACTGGAAGCAAATCATGGAAGCCATGCAGATATTGATAAAAACAACGTCGGACCCTGCCTCAAGCTCAAAACACAAAGGATGGATTTCATCGACCTCGGTTGCCCTGATGGACGCTCCCAAAGCCATTCCATCGGATTCAAGATACGACAAAGCGCGCAAATCCCCTAAACGCCAGCTCATCAAGAGTCTGAGGAATGTCCGTGAGAAGTGGTGGATAGAAAAGTGTAGAGATGGAGAAAGCTGCGGCTATTGGCAATCGTTGTTACCTTTTCCATCTAATGGGCATACGAACCTTAGGAAAATAGGCGTAAGTGAGGTAATTAAGGAATCCGACGGCAGACTGATTCATAGTTAATAGATCGATGGGCAGAACATTTCAAGTCTCAGTTTAACTGGCCCCCATCGACATTTGAATCATCGCCCTCCACCCCGACTGAGCAAACACTCCCAGTTGATGCTAGTCCTCCATCTGAACTGGAGGTTTCCCGGGAAATAAGCTTTTCTTATTACACAATGTGAATTACAGTAAAAGAGGAAATCCCCATGGACAAATAGCATATTGTAGAGGGGAGAATAGGGGAACAATCACGTGCTGTCCAATGAAAACCTTGTTTGTCTGTAACGGTAGAATCACCTCACCCGTTTTTTAATC